TATTTTTATATATTCCACAGCTTCTAATGTTCACCAGTGAACATTTCTAATGAAAATATCTATTACACTTCATTGCCGTTAAGTAGGGTTGTCAGTAGGTTGGGTTGGGTTGAACTATTTCTCAAGCCACTCCAACTTGGGCTGGGTTTACTTCGGAACCGCTTCAGGTTTGCTAAAAGTTGCACTAGTTTTACTTAGGCATATCTTTAACTTGCTCCAATTTGGGTTGGGCTCAATCCAGAGCTGCTCTGGAGTATACTACTCTGTTAACATCCCTACCGTTAAGACTTGTTCTGCTTAGCAAATATTATTTCAAAAGAGTGTAGTATAAAGTAAATAATATTTTTGTATTGCATACAAAATTCATACTATATCTCTTAAAAAAAAGTGATTTAATTGATAGATAAACTTATTCTAATGTTACTAATATTTAACTAATCTATTTTAGTGCTTCTTTATTACAATTGTTAGCACTTTATCTCTTATTCGTGTTTGTTTTCCAAAAAGGTAGGAATAATGATATCTTCCCAGTAACACATGCACTGTTGAATTAAAATGAATTCTCATTATACAATTATAGTAAGAGCCAAAGAAAACTCTTATTGAAAATAACAGTACTTACATCAATGGCACAATTATATAGGCACATTCAATCATAATTTTAGGAATTTAATCATCTTTAATGTATGTATGTATGTTGTACATACAAAGTAGATTCTGCTGCTCTAACTGAGCGATTTCCGTTAAATTTGCAAATTCTGTGTCGATGTATAAATAATACTTTAAAAATCAGAAAAAAAAGTCAAACAAAAAGAAAATCTAATTTTAAACACAATAGACTGTCTCCATCAATTGGTTATTATTCGGCGAGCAGGACAAGAACAGAATTCTGCACAGATTCTGCCATCGCAGATTTCTGGATACTTTAATACAAAAGTATTAAATTGAGTAGTTATTGTGTCATTGTTCGTGATCTTGATATAATAATGAACAAAAGTACTCTTTTGAATTAGGAAATGGGCTTGAATTTTTAATAATCAAGTTTTAAGGGTATTTAAACTGTTGGTCTAGTCGCTTGCATATATAATTAAAATGTCTTTATCTCTCTATAGAATAGGTACTTGTTTTTCTTGCTGTAAATGTCTTTTCTGTTATACTGATCTAATAGAAAAGCTTTGTGAGTATGATACAACTCAAAAACCTTCTCGTTCAGAAAATAACCAAGTATATAGTCGAATTTTTAACACCAAAAAAACACATTTAAATCAAAAATTGCTTCTTAAGCAATACAACCGTCTCTTTGCTTATTGTTGCGATTTCAATACCTGTTTTAATCTTTCATTCTGTAATAATTGCCACACAAAGTACGTTTGCGCTAAAACAAACTATACTAGTGCTAATGAAGATTCAGATTATGCAGAAAGTAATGATTCTTCAGATTCAAATAGAAGTTCCGATATGTATGTGCAATTAAAAGCTAAGGTTATTATCAAGACCGATGACAATTCTATGCCAGCCAAGTGATTCACATTTGATTTAAATGAATTTCATGTATTTTATGATAATCTTATTCAATACACTCGTAAATGTTTGGATAATTACAGTATCAATAAAGATGATGTTGAAATTGTTTATAAAATAAATGGGCGTGGCCAAGCAATGGCACTTGACGATGATTCAGATTACGATAGATTTATTGAAGAGTGTAAAAAACTAGCAAGAACGAAAAATATGGTATTATATATTACACTAAAATTCAATAAAAAAAAAATAAGGTATGTATGTAATTTTATAGGTATACAATAAATTATGTATTGATATTGATATAATTGTTTTTTTTTTTTAATTATGAATTTATAGAAATCAATCGAAGATAACGAATCTGATGAGGAACCGTTGAAAATGAAATCAAAAAAAAAATTAAAAACATGTCATGCCCCCAAAAGAGACGACCTTTCCCAAAATGAAATAGAGTTGGCTCGAATAATCTCACAATTACGAACAAAATATGAGTGTGGTGCTCATATAACGCCATGCTATATAGAAAATAATAAGCATCTACAGCTCAATCCTTCGCTCTTGTATCTGTGGGCAAAAGACATAGTTAGTATTAGTATTATATAATAAAGAGTAATTTATAGATACTCTATATTAGTATCAATAATTAAAGTATATATTAACATTAATGATTATACTTTTTAATTGCAGCAAAAGGGAGCTACAACAGTAGATGTACCCCCTTCATATCCAGCCTTTGGGTTAGCATATGCTACTAAAATTAGTTCGTGGTTACAATTGCCTATATGTACTCCAACTGCTTCGACTGCTTCAACAGCTTCAACATCTAATACTTCAATTCCAATAATTGAAGAGTTTTTTAAAAAATTAAACGAATTTATAGATAAGATGAATCAGAATAAATAGATTTAAAAGTGGAATTGTGTATATAAGCTAGGGGTAAATGAATATTAATATTAGTAAGATATGTATAATATATATATGTATTACTGTAAGGCATATTATAAATGAAATAAATAAAATCAATATTTTTAATATTATTTTTTATCCTATAACCTTAATTTCTGAGCAGATCATAAAGTACTCACCCAGTCAAAAAAATGTTGGCAATGTTGTTCTAAATATAACATGTTGGTTCAGTTAGAAGCCGGTTGTGATCGATTGTAAAATATATATATGTACTGTATGTACTGTACATACGTACATACATATATTCACTAATTTAAGGTTTTTTTATATTTGTTTACAAAACAAGTTTAGCCTAAGTAATTATATACTGCTTATATGATTATAAATGAATTTAAAAGTACTAAAAAGTAAAGATTATCAGACTTAGCCCCTGGATAACATATATAACTAGTGTCATAGGGCTAATTAGAGGTTGGTGTCCCTTTAAATATCTAGACTGATGGGTTAGAGCTTCGCTTTCGGTGTTAAGAAACGCAAGCATTTACTTTTGTTACCACGCGACTGTTAGAGTTTATAAGTATATACGTGAAAGATGTTATTTATTTATCAAGGAACATGCACTAAGCAAAGAGTTTTGTTTTTTATTAACTATCTTCTTATTTCATCTCTTTGCCTTTAACTCAAATTAATTACCAAACTATGGCATATTTTTCATGCGACTACTCAAATAAACTGAAATTATGATTATATTGATTATGCAAATTTATCACAATATTCGTTTGACTTTTGAACCATTAATTACATCATTTATTCGTCTCTGACCCAATCACTAGATCTGTGACTACCTATTACCCATTCTAAGTCACATGTATTATGATAAGGTTCATGACACCAGCCAATATGTATCATTTTGAAGTATCATAGTGAGATAGTACTGTCGAACCTATATTAGCAGAAACAGATTGGTAAATTAATTCCTTATCAGATTTGACAGGGAGATTCAACAGTATTAATGGTAATATAAATCGCATCTGATTTTATAAAGACAAAAAATAACACTAAAAATATTTGATTTATTTATTTTATTTATACGTAATATGCCTTACAATAATATTAAATCTTATATATACTTTAATTATTAATACTAATATTAGAGTGTTTATAAATTACTCTTTATTGTCTAATACTAATACTAACTGTCTTTGCCACAGATGCAAGAGCGAAGGATTAAGCTGTAAATGCCTATTACTTTCTATATAACATGGTGTTACATGAACACCGCACTTATATTTCTGTATTTTGTTCGTAACTGCGAGATTATCTTGGCTAAATCAATTTCATTAGGGGTATACGGTTTACTCATTAAAATTTTATGTGCTATATATGGGGATATATAGTTTTTAAATACATTAATTAATAATTTTTGTTATTCAGATAAAATATCATAGCCATGCCACAAAAATTTGCCTGTCTCATGATCTCCGCGCCAATTCATTTAGCCACTTTAGACAGTTATAATGATGCTACGTATAACATTGATACAAAACCTGTAACAGATTAGAGAGGTTCGATAGTACTATCTAATCACTATGGTGCTTCAAAATGATACTTATTTTCTGGGTACTCCATGATTCATTTTCCTTGTTTTCCTGTTCTAAAAGAAATGATATAGATATTAATCGCAAATAAAATAAAGATTTGCTATTACCAGGCCTAAGCCGAATAATTTTTTATCACTTCGCTTTGTACAATATCTGATTCCAATCATTCTATTAAAAAAATAAAATTAAAAATATTATAAAAATCACCAGAACAAAAGTAATGTTAATGGTACGAAATAATTATTAATATTACCCATTTTTCCTTTTGTTTTGGTATTACCAGGCATGAGCACATTATTTATATAATCTGAATCAGATAATTTTTTTTATCGCTTCACTTTGTACAATATCCGATTCCAATCACTCTAATAAGAAAATAGAATTAAAAAATTATAAAAATCGCCAGAACAAAAGTAATGTTGATAGTACAAAATAATTATTAATATTACCTATTCTTTCCTTTATTTCGCTATTACAGGCCTGAGCAGATTATTTATATAATCTGAATCGGATAATTTTTTATCGCTTCGCTTTATACAATATCCGATTCCAATCATTCTATTAAGAAAATAAAATTAAAATATTATAAAAATCGCTAAAACAAAAGTAATATTAATGGTACGAAATAATTATTGATATTACCTATTTTTCTTTTTGTTTTGGTATTATCAGGCATGAGCAGATTATTTATATAATCTGAATCATGTATTTTTTTTATCACTTCGCTTTGTACAATATCCGATTCCAATCATTCTATTAAGAAAATAAAATTAAAAATATTATAAAATCACCAGAACAAAAGTAATGTTAATGGTACAAAATAATTATTAATATTACCCATTTTTCCTTTGTTTATAATTTCAAAGTAAAATATCTCACACTCTGAACGATTACAGCTTTATAGTCATCAAGATCTATAATATATTAAGATGAACAGAATGGCTGATTATATATGTCCAAAGAGAAGTCGACATGTCTAGCGAAATCGGTCAAGTTAATCAAGAATTCGTTATCTACAGAGCATAGGTTAATATATCGAATTAAGAATTCATAAGCACTGATTCATTATATACATAAACTATCTTACCTTCGGTTTTGTTTTACATTTTGGAGATCATCCTTATTCAATTCAACATTGAAATAGTGTGGATTTGATTGTAATACAACGATTTTGTTTATCCTGACGGGTATCAGTAAACCGCTTTCACCAAAAAAATAATAGCTTTGGATACCAAAGAATCGGTAAGTGTGGACTTTCTGTGGTTAACATGCATAATGACCGAAGTCTAGTAATCTTTTATTTCAGCTCAGCAAGCTTATCAACCACCTTCAACAATTGTATCAGCTGGAATAGCCACTCCCGTCTCACCAAGCAATTATGGAGTAAATGATCATATGAAGGTACAACTTTTAGTAAGAGCTTATCAAGTTTGTGGGCATCATTTTGCAAAATTAGATCCTCTAGGCATTATGGATGCTGACTCTACGTTTCCAAAAGAACTTGATCCAAGTCATTATGGCTTTACTAAAGATCTTAATAGGCAATTTTCATTGGGACCTGGAATCTTAACTCAATTTTCTAAGTTTTTTCGAGAAAAAAAGACACTTAAAGAGATTGTTGAATATTGTAAATGGATTTATTGTAGGTATCCCAATACTTTAGATCTGCTGAGAATATAGTTAGAGTTTTTTAGTTAAATTAGTATTTAA